TGCTTGTTAAAAAAAGAAAGCATTTATAGTATCTTATTCCTAGATGGTCCTTTGCCCTATCTGTTACAACACAGAATCTTACTTGTTCAAGGTGAACAATGGAGAACAGTGTAACGAAAGGAACATAAACTGAGGGTTTTCTCCTGGGAATGTATCAAATGTGAGGAGAGTTGTGGCACTTCTATATTTAAATAGAAGAGTGTACCCATTAATAGGGCAGCATTGTTCAGAAACTACTCCAAATGATATTCTGGTTGGTTTTGTTCCTATTATTGAGGATTGTAGACAGTTGTGTTTGTGTTTCTCTATCTTCTTTATTGATGCTGATAAGAGTCATCTTGTGGGTTTCATATTTTGGTTCCTGGGATGGGGAGTGGAAAGCAAATGCAGATGGATAATTCTGTATCTTAAGACTGTTCTATTTATGATGTGCCAATTAATTGAAATAAATTTAACCTTGTAAAAAAAATTGATTCTATAAAAGGCAAAGGCAAATCCGGAATAATGTAGATATAAATTCAAGAATTAACCGGGTTCTGCTAAAATGCAGAGATTTCAAGAATAGTTTCTTAGGAATCATATTGTTTATCACGTTATTTTCCTGACTTTTACCTTTAAAATACAATTTAAATAAACCCTGAAGCCTTGATTTGTCTATCTGATTTTATTGCTGATAACTTAAATGTGAGGCATCCAACTCCTGCCATTGCTACTGTTTCTATGGTAACTAAAGTGTGCAAACCCTGCAGTATCACTTTCTTTCACAGCTGGCATTTTGTGTTCACAGTAAGAAGAGGAGTTTTTGTAAAGCATAGTCTGTGTTAATTGGGATGTAACTAGGTCAGAACAATTTTGGTATCCTTTTTCACTCTTTTGGGTTTGTATGTGTGTTCATGAGTTGCAGTTGCCTTATTTTCTTTTAAGGCATATACTTTCTTTCACTAAAATTAATCACTGTCAGAGTTAGCCTTTTGAAAATTAAGCATAATCTCTGTAAACACAGCCTGGTGTGGTATCTTGAGAATTATGTAGAGTTGTTCTGAGGTTTTTATTGTCAGGTAGACAATAAAATCCTAGCCCTGAAAGCCCTTGAGTATTTCCATTAAGAAAGAGGAAATTGCTGGGACCGGTTTGGCTCAGTGGTAGAGCGTCGGCCTGCAGACTGAAAGGTCCCGGGTTCGATTTCAGTCAAGGGCATGTACCGTGGTTGCGGGCACATCCCCAATGGGGGGTGTGCAGGAGGCAGCTAATCGATGATTCTCTCTCATCGATTTTTCTAACTCTCTATCCCTCTCTCCTCCTCTCTGTGAAAAATCAATAAAATATATATTTTAAAAAAAGGAAATTTATATGAAAATGCTTTGAAAAGTTAAATTTATTTTAATAGTCATTATATCACTTATTTTGTTACCATTATTTTGAAACATCAAGAATCTTATGACCTTGACATTTACAATATTCCCCTCTTATTCTCAGTTTCACTTTCCATAGTTTCAGTTACCTGCAGTCGCAGTCTTAAAATACTAAATGGAAATTCCAGAATTAATTCATGTTTTAAATATCTTACCATTCTGAGTAGTGTGATAAAGCCTCAGGCTGTCCTGCTCCATTCTACTTGGGACGTAAATCATCCGTTTGTCCAGTGTATTCTTGTTATATAGCTAGCTATCTGACCATGAATTAACTAGTAGCCATCTAGGTTATGAGAAAGAGAGACGGGCTACATTCATGTAACTGTTATTACAGTGCTAGAGGACCAGTGCATGATTTCGTGCACAGATGGAGTCCCTTGGCCTGGCTGGTGATTGGAGCCATCTTGCCTAGTCCTAATCGAGGTAGATGGGGGCCAGCCGGCTGGGGAGGCACTGAGGGAGGGCTTCAGGGCATGTCCAGCCCTCTCTCCCAGTCCTTATCAGCCAGACCCCAGCAGCAAGCTAACCTTCTGGAGCATCTGCCCCTTGGTGGTCAGTGTGCATCATAGCAACTGGTCAAGTGGTTGACATAATGGTTGATTCATCAGTCGGACACCTAGCATTTTACACTTTTATTATATAGGATGTTGTTATAATTGCTCCATTTTATTATTAGTTAGTGTTAATTTCTTATTGTGCTTAATTTAAAAATTACACCATCATAGATGTATGTATAGGAAAAACATCTATATATATATATTAAAAGCCTAAGTGACCATTACAACTGAATGACAAGAACGAGCAATTGACCGATTGCTATGATGTGCACTGACCACCAGAGGGCAGACACTCAATGCCCCCTGGTGGTCTGTGTACCCCCACAGCAGGAGCACTGCTCAGCCAGAAGCTGGGCTCATGGCTGGCGAGCGCAGCTGAGGTGGTGGGAGCCTTTTCTACCTCTCCACGGCAGTGCTACCAGGCCGTGCTACCAGGTGGCGGCAGGCGCGGTGGGGCCTGGCCCAGCTGGGGCTCCTCCCTTGCTGCCAGTGCTTCGGATTGCCAGTGTCAGCCTGATTCCTGCAGACCTGGCTTGTGGGGATCGGGCCCAAACCAGCAGTCCAACATCCCCGAGGGATCCCTGATTGCAAGAGGGTGCAGGCCAGGCTGAGGGACCTCACCCTTGCATGAATCTGTGCACCAAGTCTCTCATATATAAGTGTGCCCTTACTTTTCCCTAGACTATTATAGCCCACTTCCGACTTGTCTCTCTGTGTGTACTTTGTGGTTTATCCATCCCTTCCAATTCATTCTTCATATTGCTACCAACATTTTTTCTAAATATAGATCTGATTACCTCACTAATCTGTCTTGACTTAGCCGAGTGGTTGGCAAACTGCGGCTCTCAAGCCACATGTGGCTCTTTGGCCCCGTGAGTGTCGCTCTTTCACAAAATACCACATGTGGGCACCTACGTACACTGTGATTGAAACTTCATGGCCCATGTGCAGAAGTCAGTTTTCGGCTCTCAAAAGAAATTTCAATCATACTGTTGATATTTGGGTCTCTTGACTAATGAGTTTGCTGATCACTGGCTTAGCCTATAGAATAAATTTCTGTTTCTTTTTTCCTTTTTTCCTTTTTTCTTTTTTTTTTTAATATATTTTTATTGATTTCACAGAGGAAGGAGAAGTGGGAGAGAGAGATATATAAACATCAATGATGATAGTGAATCATCGATCGGCTGCCTTCTGCATGTCCCACACTGGGGATCTAACCGTACCCTCCTGATTCATAGGTCAGTGCTTAACCACAGAGCCACACTGACTGGGCTAAATCCCAGTTTTATTTTCAACATTGTTTCCAGTCTTATTTCTGCACTGAGCATTCTATGTTCTAGTCAGATCAAAACATTTTAGGTTCTTTCAGTATGCCATGTCTGTGATTTTGTGACCATACCCTTGCTTGTAGGGCGTACTGAGCCTGAAAAGTCATTCTTTTGTTTATGCTTATCAAAATTTTAGTCATTCTGCCCTAACTGGTTTGGCTCAGTGGATAGAGCATCAGCCTGAGGACTGAAGGGTCCCAGATTCAATTCCGGTCAAGGGCATGTACCTTGGTTGTGGGCACATCCCCAGTGGGGAGTGTGTAGGAGGCAGCTGATCGATGTTTCTCTCTCATCGATGTTTCTAATTCTCTATCCCTCTCCCTTTCTCTTTGTAAAGAATCAATAAAGAATATATTTAAAAAATATATTTGCTAAAGACTAATATTCATTGAGAAGAATATTCTTTCCTGACATTTTATTTTGCTGTTTTGGTACTTTCATAATATAATATGTTGTATTCTAAAATTTTAATGGAATTTTAATGGAATCTATCTTGTTTTACTAGGTTTTAAACTCCTTGAGTCAAGAAATTTTCTTTGTTTCTTGAAAGTCTCTAATACAATGTTTTATAAATAATGGATCTTTGATAAATAGTTGTCAAGCTTGAATTTTGAATGTTCTGTTTTTGTCTGATGCTATTTTTCTCTTTCTGCTATGGTAAACCAATCTTATCTTTTATCCTCAGTTAACATACTCTAGTAACTTTCAAATCCAAATCTTCCTATTTTCACTACTCTGGCTAGTCTGACTTAGGCATCTCACCTTCCTCAAACTCAATATGTCTTCTCCCTCTCTTTGTTATTCCTAAACAAGTACTTCCCATAACTCTTCCAAAATAAAGACATCATCGTTTTTCCCAGTCAGATAAACTCAAAGTCTATCAAACTTTTCTTAATTTTCTGACTTCAGTTAGTCAGAAAGTCCTGCTAATTTTAACTTCTCCTTTAAGATCTTACCTCCCTCCGTAACTCCTCCATTTCACTGAGAAGACTTTGGAAATGGAGTTTACAGAGGAGGCTCATTGTCTAAAGCCCTATTTTAGCAGTTTCTATTTCCAGATGTCTACAAATGGGGACAACTTAACAGATGGTGGACACATTTGCAGCCTACTCTTTTCCTTACGTAGCTTTGTATTAGCCTCGGTGTTTATTTTCTTACATCTTGAAATAATATTTTGAATTTCTCACTTTTGCATAAAGTATAGCTGAAGCCATGCATGAATTTTAATGGAATCTGTTGAATGTTGATCATATTTTCTTACAGTAGTTTAGAAATATTTAGCAAAGAATATTCCATCTGATTATGTTATGGTTTGAAATTTTATATAAAATTTTCAACCACAAAAAACTGTTGTGGGCAGCAAGCAGACAGTTATAATTTGTACAGGTTTTTACATTATTATTACTCATTACTTCTGTGGGACAAATAGAAATGACAGCTTTAATTCATTTGTATAATAATTATTTGTATGATATAATTTTGAATATAAGATATTTCCATAGCAAGGATGTTTATGGAGTTAGTGCTAACTTTAAAAATGTCAAATGCTTTAACTATGTAGAGGGTACTTAATATTTGATTATAGTTATGTTGAAAATACCAAATATTATAAGAACTTTTTCACATTATAAGAACTTTTTTCCATTTTAGAGCATGTCAAAAGAATAAGCATAGTAATTTGAATGCTCTATTTTTATTTCTAGAAACCAGCAAATATCCTAGTAATGGGAGAAGGTCCTGAGAGGGGGAGAGTCAAAATAGGTAGGTAATTATTTCTAAAATAATTTATTAAGAAACTGAAGTGACTGCAAAGATTGTTTCCCTTTTTAATATTCTTATTTAAGTAGTTAACCTAAAAATTATTTCTCACATTTTTAGAAGAGATATTAGGAAATATAGATAGTTTATAAAACCCCTCAGGTTTATTTCCAAAACAAGGTTTCATAATTCTAAATGGAGGCAAGCAAGCAAAAATTCATTCCAAATCAAAATCCCAAGTATGTGTGTATGTCACTATTACTGTCCTGTATAGTCATCCTAAACATAATCCCCAAAAATGTTACTTTTGTCTCAGCTTTACCAAATGTTCTTTTCTTAAATACATCCCTCCCACTCTCACCTAATACATATAGAGCTTCACAAATATCTTTCCCCTATCCCACCTATGTCCTGTGCCAGGCACAAACATATCTTTTCCAAATGGATATGTAAGTTTATAGGCCCTTTTACTTGCTAATCTTAGAAGAAGGCCCTGAAAAGAGTCTTATCTGTATATTAAAATTTCCCTTTCAATCCTAAAGGATTCATTTATACCTGACAATATTTGGGTAGAAAATTAGCTAAGAAATGCTTTGATTTCTTCTACTAGAAATAACGTTTATTGAATGTTCAATGCTTTTTAGAAGGATTTCAGAATAAATTTTGTTTCATCAACCTGTTGTCTTTGCTGTTAGACTATATCATGGTAGGGGTGGCGCAAAGTTATGCTAACTTAACCTACTACAAAGTCTTTCTGTCCTACTTCCACCGAGCCAGCCTGATGCTTGGTCTTCGACTTCTAAAATTAATACATTAGTCCAGGCCCTGAAGAACCTGCTCTAAACCAACTTCCCTTTCTTTAAACCTCAGTTCTGAGATTCAGTCATTCAGTTTTGTTGATGTTAATTAAGAACCAGGTCACTGCTTTCCTTCCCCTTCCCCTTCCCCTTCTCTTTCCCTCCCCATCACCTTTACACCTCTCCTCACTTGTTTCTCCCTCCTAACGTTCTTTTTCTTATAGGCATTTATTGAGTACCTACCCTTGTTAGAAACTGATGAAAATGGAGATAAAGGATGGCTTTTTCCTGTGAGAGGCAGTGAAATAAACAGATTACTATCCAGTGTGATACTTTCACATGTTAGTTATTTCGTTATTTTACACAACCACTCTGTATAGCAGATAATGTATATAAGGAGAGCTGGATTTAAGAGGTTGTAGCTTGTTCAACCTTTCAAAGGAAGGACTTCGAATTCCAAGTCCAGAGTCTCTTTCCCTACCAACATTGCTACCTAGTGATAGCAGAGCTACCTGGTATAACCTCATCAACCACTTTTTGTAGCACAGCCCTGCCTTAGAAACTGTCAGAGAAGGAATGACTCTTCCCTCCGAAGCCCCATTTAGAGCCCTTCTTAGCTTCAGTAATCTTCCTGCTATCCTTCAGCTTCTTATATTATGGCATCTTCAGTCTCACTCTCAAGTTTCTCCTCTTCACCTTTAAACATTCACGGTCCTCTTCCCAACTTTAAAATAAATCTCATATCCATTTTGTTTTCTGTACCATTTGTTCTGTGTCCCCTACTTTGTTCTTACTTCTAGAATGTATATTCACTCATTGGTTCCACTAAAGCTGATTTGTTATAATCTGGCTTCTTAATTCCATTCCTCAATTAAACTGCTCTCTAAAAAGATACCTTTGAACTCTGTCTTACCAAATCTAGTCACTGCTTTCCTTACTGCCTTAGCTATTTGTTCTCCTAACCAGTTTGGCCTTGAGACTTTTTCTTGGTCTATATGACATCATATAATTCTGTTTTTCTATATACCACTTTTGCTGTTACTTCTATATTTGATTCATTTTGCCTCTTACTTCTATTAACTGTTAATTTCAAGACACCCTGGGCACTGGCTTTGGACATGGCTTATCTCTTCTACAGTTACTTCTTTAGGGAATTATTCTAGGATCTGGATCTCAGGTTCCATTCTCTCACCTTAGCTGAAATTCTTCTCTCCATTTGTTTTTTATTGACAACCTACACTCCATTATTTTAGACCAAATTCATCAGCAGCATCATCTTATACTTTCCCTTGTTTGTACCTGACATCACATTGAGCACAGTCACCCAAGTTTAATATCTCCTCCAAATATCTCTACTGTTACTCATAAAATTCTGTATCCTAGCCTTATCATTAAAAATTTTAGGATTGAAATTCGATCCAAGATTAAGGATAAAACCAGGGATAAAAATTAATAAAAAAGGTCAAGTAAACAATTTAGTTGAAAGAATGCTTTAAATTTTAATAACACATTATTTAAAAAAAATTAGTAATACTCTGATTCCTATGTTTAATGCTATAATACTGTTCTTTTTGGCAAAAAAGAAAAGCATAGTTGAATGGAAAACACATTGTGCCCTTCTCTGTATTTGAGCCCTTCCCTTCTCAGCAACCTAAAGACTCCCAGGCCTTACCTAAAATGCTTACTGCCTTCTTTACTGTCACAAACATTCTTCCTTCAGCACCCAGCTCCAGGTCTGCTTTCAGTTTGGTTCACTTGTACAAACGTTTATCAAGCATTGTTCCAGAGAAAACCATGGAGACCGAGGCTCTTTCAAGAGACTTACAGTCCAGTAGCAGCTTTCCTTTTCTTAACAGTACTTACCCTTTTTTATTTTTGTCTGCTCTGTATTTTGTTTTCTCACCTTCTTGTAAGCTCCTTGATGGTAGACAGTGTCTTTTGATGTTTTTCTATAATTTCATACTGCCTAATTAGCACACACACAGAATTTTACTACTTCTGCCGACTGATTGAAAATTTCATTCATATCTAATTTTAGGAAAATAACTGTTAGTAATGTTTAAGCTTGTAACCTTTTGTCTGAATTAGTAAATATTTGAAAAATGGTTTAAAACTCCTTTGATTTAAATATTAATGTTTATTGCATGTAACATTATTATATTTTTAATAATTTTCTTGAAATATTAATGTTTATTGCATGCAAATGACTAATTATTTTGTATCTACAATCTGGTAATTAAAAAAATAAAAAACAAATAAAACTCCGAAGTTCATATAATAGGCAGAGATTGTTTCCAAGAATGTACATTGTGTCCTCTGGTCTTTCATTTGACAGTGAATAGATGTGGCTTACAAAAAATTAATGAAGTAGAAAGTAAGGGGAAAAACCTGGCTTAAGGCTTTACTTAAAAACAAAATGTTTTTCAGTGGATAGAGCAGCATTCTGTCATACTACTTTGCCATCAACAACAGTCAGCATGTGTTAAATTTACAAACAGTGCTCTGAAGTAGGTATAATATTGGTAGAATGGTTTGAATATTGTTGTTTGCAATAGGGAAATTTTGTTAAGGACGAGTAGGCTTTAGCACAGGCTTACTTGGGCAGCTTTGTTTTTTAAGACCTGGATTCTTCAAAACATTTCCAGGAAGTCTTATAAATTATTCAAACTCTCAAGAAATAATATTACTTTAAATTAAAGTTTTAATGTATATTATATCATAGCATTAGTTTTAAATTAAATGATTCTCTGTACTGTAGAAATTTTATGTACTAATTGTGCATTTTATAGTTAATTGGGGCCCATTATAGTAAAGTTATACTGTGTATATTATTTATTTCAAAGTATAGGGGTTTATAATTTTTGTGACTTTTGCCTTTGTGACATGCAGTTATTATTATAATATTATAATTAGATATCAGCTCAGTGGTTAAGAATGTAGCTGCTAGATTATAATATGGTTTTTGTTTGAGTACTGACATCTTTACTTAGTATCCCTATAACCATGGGTAAGTCATTTAACTGCTTCAGCCCCTAGACTCTCTTTCTTAAAATTAGGGACCAAAACACTTATTAAACCAGTGTTCTTATAAGGATTAAATGAAGGGATATATGATGTATCTAAAAACAGCTTGTAAAACTCTAAAGTGTTTTGTAGATGTAAGGTATTTGTTGTGTATGAAATCTTAAGAAAATTAGATGGTCCCCAGGACCTTCTTTAGTAATAAGTATTCTTTCCACTGCTTTTGTACTCCTCTAATAATCAAACCAGTTAGCTTTGATACAGGTCTTTGTTAATGCTGAATTACAACAAATTATCTCATACATTCTCTACATGTCCTTGGAAACATGTATGCGATGTGGCCTAGGGGGGAAAGCCCCAATTTGTAGCATTTGCTGTATTCTAAGATGTAAGTATTCTCACCACAGCCAATTTCAAGCCACCAACATGATGCCACTGAACTCAGAGTTGAGACTAGATATGTACCAGACAGCTCTCATGAGACTAAAAGAACTGATTCTAGCACACACTGACCTAAGATTTAGTTCATTTTTAGATGTTTACTTTACAGTAAACATCATTGAAACTTAGATTATCTTTCAACTTGTTTTTTGTTCTTTCAATTAAAAAAAAATCTAAGAATATTATTGTAGCTATCTCTGAAAGACAGGAATCTGAAATCAGACCTAAATTCTCATTCTGACTCCGTACTTGGTAGTTCTATGACCTTGGGCAAGTCAGAATATCTTTAAGCCTCAGTTTCTTCATCAGTAAAATGGGAACAATAAATAATATCTCCCTCAGAAGGTTGAAAATGGAGGAAAGGGCTTGCTTTATAAGGGCACTAATTATTGTCATCAACTTTGTATGCTTTCAGTAGCATGCCAGACTGAGTTTCATGTTAATTTATTTTATTTTTTAGCTGACATGGGTTTTGCCAGATTATTCAATTCTCCTCTAAAGCCGCTAGCAGATTTGGATCCAGTAGTTGTGACTTTTTGGTATCGGGCTCCAGAACTTTTGCTTGGTGCAAGGCATTATACAAAAGCCATTGGTAAGTTAGTCTAAAATGATTTAATTACTTGGCATTGAATTATCCTAAATATCAAATGGTATAATAATGAAACTGCTTTGTAAAAACAACTTCTATCTCTTTGTGAAAGCCCTGTTATCTTTTGTACTCCTAGATTTTGCAATCAATTGGATTTGGATTTTTAACTGTATAGGAGAAAATGATTCTTTAAAGAAGAAAGCATTTTCTTTCAGCAAATAGAGGTATCTGGTCCATTGAGTTGCTATGGAAATAATAACATAAATTTTATTTTGCACTCACCTACTATCAATCAGAAGAACTGGAAAGAGGTTTAGAAATTGTTTCTTCTCAAGCAGAAACACAGGAGTAGTGCAGTGTTGGAGGAGCCCCCTTCTATCTGGGGAAAAGTTAGCCTTTCTGAAACAAGAAACTAGGACTCATCTTTTTCTCTTGCCATTACAGTTATCAGAATGGCAGTTTCTCCATTAAGGTAGAAAATAGACAGACTCTTGGTATGTTAGCTATGCTCAGCATCTTGCCATCTCTCAAGGTAAAAAAAGAAACAACTGAATAGAAAAATCTGTTACAAACATAACTCTCTGTAGGATTTCAAGTCGGCTTCAGAACAGAAGCATCAGAGATTTTGCTACCTGGTCGCTATATTGTTCTCAGAGGATCCAGCTGCAAACTAAGGGAGTTAAGAAGAGGAATCTTCCTCAAATCTAGAGATTTCTTTAAAAGAGGTAAAAAGAGAGGGTAGGGAGGGAGTATATTTCTTTAGATTTTCCTTTTACAGACAAATAAGCACAATCCTTTCTGTTAAGCTTATGAAAAACTTGGTGACACCCAAAGAACTACAAAGCAAGTTCTTACATTTGGAAGGTTAGACTGATAATTAACCTACTCCTCATAAAAAGGGAAACAAAAATCCTATCTAATAAAGAGGGAATATGTTAATTGACTGCAATGCCCTCACAAGATGGTGGCCCCAACAGCCACAAGATGGCAGTGCCCAGTCCCCTCAGCCCTGCTTCATCCAGCCGGAGTCCCCCATCCCCTCAGCCCCACAGGGGAAGGCAGTTGGAGGCAATTGGGCAGGCAGGGGAGGGAAGTTGAGGATGATTATGCCAGCAGGGAGCAGTTAGGCATCAATCAAGCCTGCAGGGGAGCGGTTAGGGGGCTATCAGGCAGACAGGCAGGCAAACGAGTGGTTAGGAACCAGCAGTCCTGGATTGTGAAGGATGTCTGAGGGGTCCCAGATTGGAGAAGGTGCAGGCTGGGCTGAGGGACACTCCCACCCCCTGTTGGGTATCTGTATAATATTTTTTATTTCATTCAGTGTATGTTTAATTTCTAATTGGTCCTTTTCCATATCCTCGAGGGTCTCTCTCATATCTTCAAGGGTCTTGTTAAATTTATTGGCCTTTTCTAGGTAATTCTTGAAAAACCTTATAACCATGGTTTTGAACTCTATCTCTAGTTGTTTGTTTTCCTCCATTTCTTTTGTTTGTGATCTGTTTTTTTGTCTCCGCATTTTCACTGTTTCCCTGAGTTGGTAGGGTAGCTTTGTGTCCTATATGGGCCAGTGGCTCGGCCTCCCCAGTTACCTGAGGTGGACACTCTCGGTGCACCTCTTCGTGGACTGTGTGTACAGTAAGGTGACCAGGTTTTAATACTGGTAAAGTGGGACACCATTGACTGGGGAGGCGGGGGGAGGTTCTTGATTAAAAATTTGGTCTATATGGAGCAACAAAAATTTTCATAGAACGCAAAAATAGTATTGTAATATTTTTTTTAAAAAAAATTTCAACATAAGTACAATTTACAAATATAATAAATAAATAAAAATTATGTACAGTCGTAACTGTCACTTTTAAGGACGGCGCTAGACTTTTTGCCGCCACTATAAAATACAAATAATACGAGTACTGTCTGCTAAATTCAAGAAAATTGATGTATTTATGAAATAAATAAATAACTTACCTAAATTATCTGAATAGCTGATTTGTAATGACATTACTTGTTTAACTAGCTTACTAGCAGGCAGTACAATGTGTATCGTCTGAGAGACAGTTACAAAATGTTTTCGTCGTTGCCAATTCCAAAAAATGCCATTGTTCATTAAGTCCAAACAATGGTGATCGAATTCTAACAACTGATCAACAATGCGAACTTTGATAAGCAGTTCTCGATAATCAGTTCTCAACTATTATTTGTTATTATTAAAGTTTAACATTATAAAATTAACAAAAATAATATAAAACTCATATCCTGGCTAAATATCCACATGGTTGCCGAAAACTGTATATTCCCTTCCTGTTCTCCCGCCATTCCCTAGCTTGTCGTGCATTCTTTCCAAAAATCGGGACTTTTTTAAAAATGCCTCGGGAAGCAGGACAAATTGTTAAAAATCGGGACTGTCCTGCCAAAAGTGGGACGTCTGGTCACCTTAGTGTACAGCCATGTTGTAGGTTAAGTCTTGATTGTTGTTGGTATTAGTGGGAGGAGTTGACCTCCAGGCCAACTGGCTGTGAGGATCAATTGTGTTTATGCCGGGAGACAGCCTTATTTGACTAGACTTGCAAAATTGCAAAAGCCTCTGTGCTCAGCTTGTATGGGTCGGAGTTTCAGGGTGGAGCCTACAGCCTTGCCTTCCTTCAGCCCCACCCTATGAGGTTCCTGGGTCTCAGTGTACCTCTCTGAGAGAAAGGCGACCTCGAGTTTCACCCACTGCCAGACAGGCTAGTCTCTCCCAAAATGAATCTGGATTCCCAGATTCTTGCCCAGAACTGGGGTTCAGTACAGTCTGGAGCTTTTTTTTTTTTTTTTTTTTTTTTTTTTTTTTTTTTTTTTAAATACATTTTATTGATTTTGTACAGAGAGGAAGGGAGAGAGATAGAGAGCTAGAAACATCGATGAGAGAGAGTCATCAATCAGCTGCCTCTTGCACACCCCCTACTGGGGATATGCCCGCAACCAACGTACATGCCCCTGACCGGAATCGAACCCAGGACCTTTCGGTCCCCAAGCCGACGCTCTATCCATTGAGCCAAACCAGTCTCGGCACAGTCTGGAGCTTTTATTGCCACTAGGGCAATCCAGCAGCACAGTCAACAGTATGTCTTCTGCACACATTCACCTGCATGCCTCTGGAGTTCTGCCTTTTGCCACTCCCCTGAGTTCCCGCCTTACAGCCCAGATTCTTTCTGTATGAGCCTGGGTCCCCAGGGTCTTGCCCGGAACTGGGGTTCAGTGCAGTAGCAACAAGGGTTCAGTGCAGTCCTGAGCTTTTATTGCTTTCCTGCTAGAGAACACAGGCCAAGCATTCAGCCGCCCCACCTTCTCTGGCTCCGTCTTCTCTGCATGCTCGCACGTGTGCCCGTGTCTCCGTACCTCAGGGTTTTACAGCTCCTCTGATTTTCCTTGTGGTTTTCTCTTTCCTTCTAGTTGCAGAATTTCCAGTCAGTCAGCTTTCCTGTGGTTCTGGATGATGTCCGTTTTGTCTTTTAGTTGTATTTTGAAATTGTTGTGCGAGGCTGCAGTTTAGGTGTTTATCTGTGCTGCCATCTTATGAGGAAACATCTTAAGTCAGAGGTGGGGAACCTGTTTTCTACCAAGGGCCATTTGGTTATCTGCTTATAAATTAGCCTGCTATATTTGGTTAGACATGTAATTAACTCACCCTTAATGCCTTGTACATGCCAGATAGAATTTGTGGGCTTTATAGAGCCCTTGGGCTGGACATTCCCACCCCTGACTGAGTGTGTTTAGATAAAACCTTTCTTTACTGGTGTCTGTCTACTTCTGTGTTTATCAGCTTCTGAACCTTACAATTTCTTGAAAAACTGAAGTTGGTAGTCTTTCAGCCAAAAGTTGAGTTTTTCCAAATAATTTCATGTGGTATTACTGTTGGACTCAGACATTCTGCTCTATAGTTATGTAATTAATTGCTATACTTCATGGTGATATTGTTTTAGGCTATCATATTTGAGTAGTCGATTATTAATTGAATAGTGGTTAGGAAGACTTTTGCCTATATATAAAGTAAATTCATTGCTTACTAAATTGAGTTTCCTAAGCTTATCTTCATTAGGAAATGTATAGGTAAATGTTTTTTTATTTGGCTTTCAATGTATTGTGTGGTAATCATCTGTTCATGTATCATGTATATGTTTTCTTAATACACTTATTGTATTTTGTATATTGCTGTACTGAAAAGTATTTTTATGTGTAAGCTGTGATTATACCCAGGAATTACAACCAAAGAAATATAATAAATGTGTACAAAAACTTGCTTTTCTTTCTTTATAGATATATGGGCAATAGGTTGCATATTTGCTGAATTGTTGACTTCAGAGCCAATTTTTCACTGTCGTCAGGAAGATATAAAAACAAGTAATCCCTTTCATCATGATCAACTCGATCGGATATTTAGTGTCATGGGGTTTCCTGCAGGTAATTTATTTTCTTTTCAGAATATTTGAGTCCTATTTCAAAATTCTTTTTAAAAGCATACTTTTAAAGTTATAAAATAACTTTGAGATTAAGCTAAAATAACTATGAGATTATTTTATCAAATTAACGTATTTCCTTTAACAACATTCAATATTTTTTTTGTAAGATAAAGACTGGGAAGATATTAGAAAGATGCCAGAATACCCCACACTTCAAAAAGACTTTAGAAGAACAACGTAAGTAACTCCATATTAAATATAAATAGTCATTTCATTGGGAATATTTAATCTTTAAAAAAACAGACATAGATTATTTAAACTAGAAACCTAGATTTTTAAATATATTCATTATGCTTATGATTTTAAGTAGATATTACAGATGTTCACATATATGGCAGGCTTATGCTGCAGTATTTAAAAACTCCTAAGAACTTAAGGGGCAGTAGATAGTTTAAATGTCTCCTCCATCTTAGCAGGATAAAGGGCTCAGTTCAGGGCCACAACTATGATTTTTATCTTTCTCTGAGTAATGACTGGTGCCTGAAATGCTGGGCTAGCTGCCAAGATGACAGAGGAAGAACACATGGCAGCAGGGATCTGAGTAATTGGCAAGGCATTTATGTTGAGTAGAAACAAGAGGAGAGGAAAGGTACATAAAAGGGTTTTATTTTAAGTGTATATGCTCAGAGGAAAAGGGGAAGGAAGCCCCCTTTTGGGCAACTTAATGGAAAAATTTCAGGCTTATAGGAACAAAAGCAGACATCATAAATACAAGTAGAGAATGGCACTAATCCTTTTTGGCCCCTCTGTTACACAGTCCTTGGTAGGTCCTTTGCCTCTACATTCTGGACTCAGACATTCTGCTCTATAGTTATGTAATTAATTGCTATACTTCATGGTGATATTGTTAACTCTAAAAACACACACACAAACTCTATGGTTAGATGCCATTGACAGACTCAGGAGCCTCTTTCATTCTTGTCGAGGGGAGCATTAGCCTCCTCTCTTTTCATTCAAATGGCATCTCTTACAGATAGCCTTGATATCGCTCAAGGTTTTCTCTCTTCACCCTCTCCAGGAAGTCTTCATGATCCCAATGGCCACATTTTACTGTCAATTATGGTGATAATTCCCAATTAATATATCCTACTCAGATTTCTAAGTTTCAGACCCATTTATCTAATTGTCTTATGGAATCTCAATTTCAGTGTCCACAAAAACTTCAGTTAAATGTCCCAAATTGAATTCATCATTTATCCTCCTAAACCTCTCCTCTGCTTTATTTCCTTCCTATTTATGTATCTTATGATACTACTCAATGTACACAACTCACCTAATTATTGAAGCTAAAGCATGGAGATATCCCTGATCTCACTCTCTTCCATTTTGCTTCCCAGTGTCCAAACAGTAAATCTAGTCAGTTCTTTATTCTAAATTTCCTTTGAATCATTGTATTTCTCTCCATTCACCCTGCCACTATTAAACTGCAGACCACCACTGTCTCACCCAGAATCTTGAAATGGCCTACTAAGTGGTTTTGCTACCTCCAGTCTTCATTCCAGCTCACTGTCTACACTGCAATCATTGCCAAAAGCAGATTTGATCATGTCGGTCTTCTAGTGCTCTTCAGTCACCATTGTTTTCAATTCCTTAATGTAGCTAACAAAAGGTTGGCTTCTACATCACCAAATTCATCTCATAAACCACTCTTCACTTTGTGTTCTATAGCCTAGACATTGTGAATTAAAAACACACACACGTATTTCTATTGATTTCAGAGAGGCAGGGAGAGGAAGAGAGAGATTGAAACATCAATGATGAAAGAAAATCATTGATTGGCAAAACGGGCAAATGCCCTGAATGGGAATTGAACTATGACCTCCTAGTTCGTAGGTCAACACCCAACCCCTGAGCCATGCCAGCCAGGCAGAATCTGTATTTCTAATATAGGCTCTCAGGTGCCCAAGCTGCAGATCTGGAAGCCAGGTTTGTGTAGCAGGGTCCTAGAGCACATAAAAAGGGCTTTGAAATGTACATATGCGTTGACCAAGTAATTCCAAGAATTCATTCTGTGGAAGCAATTGGAGAAGCTAACTCAGTACTTACTATGTGCCTGGCATGTCCTATATCCTTTACCTACATTTTCTCATATGATCATTATAACAACTCTGTAATGTAGGTATAATTATAATCCTTACTTTGAAATGAGGAATTTAAGCCTTTCATAGTGCTAACTGCCCAAGATCATACACTTGTAACAGTTAGTCAGGGTCCGGTAGTTGTCTCTGATTTTCACCTGCTTGCAGTACTATCCCCTACAATGTGTACCAGGTGAATAATAACTAGTGTGAAACATATTAGTAACAGTAGGAGATATGCACCCACTACACATAATAAGTTTAAAGAACATTTGACAAGGAAAAATACTTATAAAACAATATTAAGTGAAAAAAATTAGGGCAATTTATGCAGTATGATCCCAGTTTTATAAAAACAAAACAAAAATCTCTCACTGTTTGTATAATTGTGTGTGTGTGTGTGTGTGTGTGTGTGTGTGTGTGTGTATAATGTCAGGAAATTATCAAAATCTTGACAGTGGTTCTTTATCACTGAATGGCTTGATTATGAGTGATTTTAATTTTCTTCTTTATACTCTACTATATTCTCTAAATTTTCTGCCATGAACATGTATTTTCTATTTTTTACTGATTTAAATTTGAAATATTTAATATATAGGAACGAATGTATGTGATATGTATAGCTTATTTAGAATAATAAATGAATACCCTTCTACCTCAGCCAAAGAAATAGAACATTAATAAGATTACAGAAGTACTCTATGTACCCCCTCTTCCTGTTCCTGTCCCTCCCAAAGGGTAAACCCTGTTCTGATTTTGTATTTATTCCTCATTTTTTATTATAGGTTTACTACAAATAAATTATTGTTCAATTTAATGTATCTTTGAACTTTTTATATAAATAGTATCATACTTTCTGCACTATGTTTTTTCTCATTCAACCTCTATTCATTTTTACTATTGTTAGCATTCTATTAGGTTAATATATAACAATTACCCATTCTTTAGCAGATACACATTTGGGTTATTTACAGCTTATTCTATTACCAAAATGCTGCCAAGAAATTTTCTTGTCTACGTATCCTGTTATGCATGTGCAAAAATCTCTCTTAGCCCTAGCTGGTTTGGCTCAGTGGATAGAGCGTCTGCCTACAGATTCAAGGGTCCCAGGTTCAATTCCGGTCAAGGGCACACGCATGGGTTGTGGGCTCTATCCTAGTTAGGGACTTGCAGGAGGCAGCCGGCCCATTATTCTCTCTCATCATGGTTGTTTCTTTTTTTCCTTTTTTTTCTTTTTTTTTAAAGATATATTTTATTGATTTTTTGCAGAGAGGAAGGGAGAGAGATAGAGAGCCAGAAACATCGATGAGAGAGAAACATCGACCAGCCGCCTCCTGCACATCCCCTACCGAGGATGTGCTCGCAGCCAACGTACATGCCCTTGACCGGAATCGAACCTGGGACCTTTCATTCCGCAGACCAACACTCTACCACTGAGCCAAACCGGTTTGGGCTCATCATGGTTGTTTCTATCTCTCCCTCTTCCTTCCTCTCTGAGATCAATAAAAATATATATATATTTAAAAATCTCTCTTAGACTAGATTATGTACCTAGGGAAAGAATTGCTGGGTCATAAGATATTCACATTTTCAACTCTAATGGTTAATGCATAATTATTTTCCAAAGTGATTGTAAAAATATAAACTCTTGCATGTGGTGTATAACAATTCCTATTTCTTCACATACTTACCAATGTTTGGTGTGTGTTCCTTTTTAATCAGAACAAACATATACCTTACAGGAGAATCCAGTCTTTGAGCTTTCCATTCTATGGATGGTGTAAATGTTCCCAACGATGTCTGATTGTTATGTCTTTACAGATACGCCAACAGTAGCCTCATAAAGTACATGGAAAAACACAAGGTCAAGCCTGACAGCAAAGTGTTCCTCTTGGTAGGTGCATTCCCCCCAGACTGGGAAGTCAGAACCTACTGCAGCTCTCACCTCATTCCATTTCCCATGGAATTGTTCCAGCTGTTCCTTCTCTTTGGAAGGAAAAGAAATAAGTGGGTGCTGGGTCAAATTAAATATTTTTATTTTGAGATGTTATTCATAACTTTCAGCCTTATTTTCCCCCCAATAATTTTATCAGCAGAAAATGAATTAAATTCTAAAACTGCTTTAATGATTTTTTGCCAGTTCCACATAAATGTGTATAGTGTGCTAATCATGCAGTGAGCTGTACAAAATAGTGTTTGAATTAATCCTGTTAGACATTAATATAAAAGTCAAAACTGACTTGTAAACAACTTTTTCATGTGTTATCAATTTCTTCTGTGTTACCCTAGCTTCAGAAACTCCTCACTATGGATCCAACTAAGAGAATCACCTCAGAACAAGCTCTGCAGGACCCCTATTTTCAGGAGGACCCCTTGCCAACACTGGAGTATGTACCCTACCTTTTCTGTGTCCTTAGCTCCAGGTGACTGTATCAGGTAGTGGCGGAAAGCAAGAGAGCATTTGTTTTGAAGTATTTTACTTTCTTCATTAATGCTACTTTGGAGAAAAAGTACTTACGAGAAAGATCTTGTATTTTGAAGGAGGCAAAGCTGTGGAGAGGTGTGAATGAAAAGAAGTATTTTAGGAATGATGATTAATCAGTTTTACAGATAAAAACAAATGGGGCAAATGGGACTTGTATAGAAGGTCAGTCAGAACAGTTTAAATGGAACCAGTGGGGAACTGAGAAGTTAAAAGTCAGTGTGTCTCTCTCCTCTCTTATACCTATGTATATCAGTGTGCTTAGGTTTGTTAGAGGTGCGGCTTTTCTTGGAAGAAAAGTTATTTTCTTTGTTGAAGCAAATACAAATTCAGTTATTATTAGTGCCGATGAAGTTTGTGTGGAGAAATTCTGTCATATATGTCAACTCCCTAACAACAGCTAAGATTTGTTAATGAGCATGGCAACATGTAAAATTAAGACAACAAATTGTTTTTTAATGATTAAATTAAGTTGTGATGGGAGACATCTAGCAAGCACCAATCACAGATGAAGAATAGGAAATACATTGAGGAAAAAAAATGGAATTTTAAATTAACAAGGTCAGTGATATTGTAGATTTTCGGTCATGACATTTCTTTCTTTGTAATGATTCTCAGTGTGTTTGCTGGCTGCCAGATTCCATACCCCAAACGAGAATTCCTAAATGAAGATGAACCTGAAGAGAAAGGTGATAAGGTATGAACTGCACAGTACATTTTCACTTCCAGAGAGTAAGGAGGCAAAAAGAGAACATAGGGAAGTATAATGTAATTACCGTGTTTCCCCGAAAATAAGACATCCCCTGAAAATAAGACCTAGCACATCTTTGGGAGCAAAAATTAATATAAGACACTGTCTTATTTTCGGGGAAACGGGGCAGTAGCCCTGCACTTGAATCCGTGCACCAGTAGCTCCCAGTAACTCAGCCACCTTCCAGTAGCTCTCCGCCTGCTGCCCTGCCCTCCTGTGACTCCCTCTTCTCCCTGCCCCCCCCCCCCCCCCCCATAGCTTGCTGTCCTGCCCTCTCCTGTAGCTCTCCACCACCCACTTGTAGCTCGCTGCCCCATCCTCCTACTGATCCGTGATCTGGTTGTTGTGCAGTCGGTTGTTACGCTTCACAGCATAATGACCATTTGCATATTACATCTTTATTATATAGGATAATCCCTATGTATTTAACCACCTTTTGTTTAATTAAATCTGTATGTAGCTATGCTTTGAAATTTGAAATGTAATAAGTTTATAGATAGATGGTCTTCTGATTTGTTTTCTAGCCTACTAGAGGCTCAGTGCACGAATAAGGGATGTGGAGGCTGATCGGGGGCGGGCTGACCAGGGGGAGGGTGTCTAGGTAAGAAGACAGTTTGCATATTAGGCTTTTGTTATATAGGATTTTATTCCCTACTCTTCATTCTTGCTTTTTGTTTGTTCAGCATTATTACCATCACCTTGTGCAGGCTACTTTTCAAAGCATCTTCTATTCTTGATACACTTAGAGATATAAGGTCCTTCCCACACCCTGTATAGAAAATTACTCTCGAAAGACTATTTGAGCTGTTTTAATGAGGACAGAACTATTTCCTGTGTGCCTGTGGTCTTCAGTGGGATGTCTGTGTCTGGTTGGAGGATTATTATGCAATTGAATGGGCCCCAGAGAATGATTCCCATTCTGGGCGCAGCACTTTGACCTTTGGGGATGCTGGAGTCCTTGGCTGCTCCATTTTCCAGCCATTCCAGCCACTTTGGTGTCCCACATGGGTCTCCCTGCAGGTTTCAATACATCAGGTATTGAAAGACATTTCCTGTTAATTTAGTTCCATACCAAGCCTGCTTTTTTCCTTCCCAAGAATCAGCAACAGCAACAGAACCAACATCAGCAGCCCACGGTCCCTCCAGCACAGACAGCAGCACCTCCGCAGGCGCCCCCTCAGCAGCAGAGCAGCAGCCAGACCAATGGGACTGCAGGAGGGGCCGGGGCCGGGGCCGGGGGCACCGCAGCAGGGCTGCAGCACAGTCAGGACTCGGGCCTCAACCAGGTGCCTCCCAGCAAGAAGCCACGGCTGGGGCCTTCAGGCGCAAACTCAGGCGGGCCTGTCATGCCCTCAGAGTATCAGGTACTCCCCTGGATTTTGTACTTTTAATGTTGATACATTTTATTAAATCAATGCTGTTAGAACTAAGTAGCACTTAACTTAAAGTTTGTACAAACTGTAAATCCTGTTTCTTGGGCATTATATGAAAATGAATATCTTTTTTATATTTCATGTAATTGTGAGATATTTCTCTCTTGACTTATTTATCCTGACACCCCAAGGAGAAAAGCTGAGGCAGGCCCCTTCCTCTTCAAAGAAAATTTCTTCTTTTGCTTAAACAGCTGCCTTTCAGCTTTGGACCAGAAAAAGATACCTACATAGCCGAAACAGGTTTGGCTCGATGGATAGAGCGTCGGCTTGGGGACTGAAGGGTCCCGGGTTCGATTCCGGTCAAGGGCATGTATCTTGGTTGCGGGCATATCCCCGGTGGGGGGTGTGCAAGAGGCAGCTGACCGATGACTCTCTCTCTCATCGATGTTTCTAACTATCTCTCTCCCTTCTTCTCTGTACAAAAATCAATAAAATATATTAAAAAAAAAAAAAAGATACCTAGATAAGCAATTGAAAAGAGAGAAGAGTGGTAGCATATTTTGGACAAAATAGCTATATACCAGAAAGATTTGCTGTCATTGGAAGGAAATAGTAAATAGCCACATAAACATAAAAGAGAATTAAAATTGAAATTTCTCAGAAATAACCATTAAATCTCACTAGAAATAAGTTGGAGACTAGAAAATACTTTCTGCTAAAAGTACTTTGATTAAAAAAGAAAACTAAGTTGTAATACAAATTCTTGAAATTAAAGAAAAATTAAGGTTTGGTATTTGAGAAGATAGGTAAAAATACTTGTGAAAACTGCAGGGATCTTGAGGGAAAAAAAAAAAGCCACCTTGTTTTCAGTGTAGCAACAAGCTAAGAAAAGGTCTAAAAATGAGAAGAAAACCTTAAGTGAAAGGTAGAAAGAAAAAAGGTTAGAACCATGGTTGTCCCTTGAGAAACTGGTGGAGGGGGAGCAGTGATGTTAGAGACAATAGAAAACAAAACCACAGGCAAGGGGGCCATAAACTCACTGGTAAGGAACTGGAATCAAGAAAAACATTAACAGGAAAAATATAATAAATAGCTGCCTAAACAGGCTTTCCATTTTGAACATCTTAAAAAATGAATGTATTTTTTTGCACAGCTGCTGGCAGATTCCCTGCAACCAGAGGGGACAGCACAGCACTGCCATTTGGTTCCAGTTAAACTAGTCAAGGTTACCTTTTGATCCTCTAAAAGCAGCAGGTTATGAGCCTCTTTGAATTTTATTATAAATTCAGATTCCTTCCCCCCCCCCCCCCCCCCAGTATTGGTTTATTCTTATGTGAGCAATAAGTCTTTACTATATACTGGCTTATCTTTGTGTCCCTGATTGTATTTGTTAAGGTAAGAAACATTCAAATCTGTAAAAAAAAAGAAAAAAAAGAAAAAAAAAAGAGGTTTATTTGAGGCGAACTGTGTCAACAATTGCTGGGAGAATGACGGTTTTTCATCGAGTTTTGTAAATTACCATCAAAGGAGGGTATGGTGATAGATTAAAGGTTAGAGATAGCAAAACGGGGAAACTTCTGGGATTGAGTAAAAAGTAAAATGACAGACGCATGCTTCTTTGTACAGGATAGTTATCAATCAACAATTACCAGTAACAATGAGGGAATTTGTGGTCTTCATCCTGGCACTTTGGTTGTGCTCTGAGGGGTGTGGATGGAGGGGGAAGTTGACATTCCAAAGGTATGTTATCATAGATGCAAAAAGACAATAGGCTCAGTTAAGATAAAAGTTGATCTTTGTCAGGGAAGATAATGGGCTAAGACAAAATTATCCACCATAGACTGCTTTTAATTTTAAGTTTTAATTTCAGACCACCCTTTGTGGCTACTTTAGGTCTTGAGTTTGCAAGGCCACCTCACAGGCCTGAGTTAGTCAGGTTAGCATGTGGCCCCTTTTTGCCTATATGTTATAATAACGTGATTATAGTCCATTGTGGACAGATTACTTTAAAAATTGTTTTAATTTGTTTATTAATTTTAGAGGGAAAAAAGAGTGAGAGACAGATAAACATCAATTTGTTATTCCACTTATTTATTATATATTCATTGGTTGATTCTTGTGCGTGCCCTAACTGGGGATCAAACTCCGCAACCTTTGTGTATTGAGATGATGCTCCAACCAACTGAGCTACCTGGTCAGGATCCTAATTACTGTTTTTATTCCTTTCAAACTGAAGAGCTCTTCAAAATCTTTTTTCTTGTCCATCTTGTGCTATTTACTTAAAAATAAAACAGCATATTTATAACATGTGTAGATATCTCAGCTAGTTAGTTGGATAGATTAGCACAAGGAGAGGGAGTCCCTTTGCATCTCTTTGCAACTCTACCATCATCACTGTGTTTGTTCTTTATCTGGTTTGGAAAATCCAGTGTGTATGTCCAGTCTGCTCAAGTGAAAGTGGTCTTCGCCAGCCTGACAATTACAGGGCTTGTGAGTGGAAAGAACATTTTTTCATAAAAAACTTTCAAAATTAAAACATAGTTAGAATGTGGAATTTTGGAAGGCTTCTTACACTAACACACTAATGGGAATTGTGTAACTTAGGAAGGATCGGGTCAGTTGTGTTTAACCAAGCCTATCTTACTGCCCTGCTGTCCTGGGCCAGATGTTGCAAGTCCAGTTTGGCAGCCTACGCACCTGAGGCAGGGACCTTGTTGATTTGTCCTTTCTTAACCCTAGTGCCACCTCAAAGTCATTTGCATTTTAACCACAAATCATAGCTTTATTATGTATATTCTTTCCCACTTTTCTTGGAGGAAGAACTGGCCTTCTGAGCATAGCCAAAGACATTGGTCCCAGCTATTCTTCCGTTTCACCAGGCACCATGTTTTAATTCTATAGACCAGTTTTCCTTTCACATATTTTTTCATATATGCCCTATGAAGGTGAATGTTTCATTTACAGTAATAAAAACATTGAATTGAAATACATTGGTGCCTGCCTCCTCCTGAGGGCATTTTCATATATGAACATGTTTTTATTCTAAGTAGACCTGAGGTCATAAAGCCCACTCATTGCTGCCATGCCCTGCCCAGCTTTGCCTTGATTTGTCCTGGAGGTGCTGCTCCTGCCCCCACTCTGGCTCTGCCTCTGAAAACTTTTCCTCTACAAATGATTTCTTAATCACAGCTTTGTTATTTACAATGAGAAAATTAACAAGCATCGGTAGATATTATGGATAACTTTGGCCAAATGTGCCAAATTAATTATTCTTGTTTGTAAATCTCATGCAAAGAATGACTAACCAGAGTTAGTCAGCACAGAGAGCAGTGGATAATGGAAGTTTCCCACTGCCTTGTATGTGTGTGCACCAGTGTGTGCATTCCAGCCAAACATGTGGTTATAGTGGTGGCAGGCTATGATTTTCAATCAACAAAATGTATTAACAAGCTAAGCTGGATCGGACCCAGGAGCCTCTGATGAACGTGGCTCACTGCTCCGTCCCATTGTGATGACCATCTCTTCATTCATCAGTAACTCCCTTCTCCTTTTCCTTCTAGCACTCCAGTTCGCGCCTGAATTACCAAAGCAGTGTTCAGGGATCCTCTCAGTCCCAGAGCACACTAGGCTACTCCTCCTCATCTCAGCAGAGCACCCAGTACCACCCATCTCACCAGGCCCATCGGTACTGACTCCCGCAGCCCAGAGCAGACTCCAGCAATATGATGTCCGCATTGAAGAGAACAAAAAATGCAAAAACTATGATGCCATGTAAAACTTACCCATGTGGGAGGAAGACTGTCTTCTGAGCATCTTGCAAGGACTGATGTCTCTTCTTGATTGACTTAAAGAAGATTTTTGTGAAGTTTCCCCAGCACCCTTTCCCTGCATGTGCTCCATTGTGACTTCTCTGATCGGGCATCTGATCTAATCCCAGCACTTACCTTCTGTAACCTTCAGCATTTTTTTTGAAGGATTTCCTGGTGCACCTTTCTCATGCTGTAGCAATCACCATGATTTATCTTTTCAAAGCTCTTTTAATAGGATTTTAATGTTCTAGAATCAGGACTCCAGTGGTGTACATAGTTTTATACTTCATCAACTAACCTAGCAACACAGGTAAAAACGTACCTTTTAAAGCACTACGTTGTTTTCATAAAATATAACTGTTTTGCTCATGGAAGTCTTAAACAGAAATTGTTACTGTCCCAAAGTACTTTACTATTACGTATGTTCTTATTTATCTAGTTTCAGGGAAGGTCTTATAAAAAGACAAGTGGTGGGACAGAGGGAGCCTACAACCAAAAACAGCCTACATCTTCGAAGTTAGTATGCTTCATGCAATGAATAACTGAAGTGTGTGATATTTTTTATGTAATCATTTACATGGAACTTAGTTCCTAGGATCATCCTGAGCAGTAGTCAGTATTGAAGAATTATAAATTTAACTTCCTGTAGCTAAGTCTGTGTTAAAAGGGTTTTGAGAGCTTTGATGAAATGCAGTCTTCTGGTGACCTGCACCAGAGAGCTGGAGAACAGAACTGCACTAGGATTCTTTAAGGAGCAGTGCTGATCAGAGGATGTATTACTTTCCTTTGAAGGAAAAGCTCCTAGTGTGTATTGTACATAAAGTTGGCTTCTCTAAAGAGCTGTTGTTTTCTTCACATGTGGCCCATCTTGAGTAACTTTCTTACATAATCAAGGGTACTCGACAGAAGCCTGCCGATGATTCTGCTTTTAAAATAAAGAGCAGTGTTCTCCATTTGTATTTGCATTAGAATATAGAGTGACTATTTTTAAGGCATGTTAAAAATTTAGGTTTTATTCATGTTTAAAGTATGTATTATGTATGCATAATGTTGCTGTTGTTACTGAAACGTAATTCTATCAAGAATCTTCATTGCACTGAATACTTTCTTTTGCCCCTAGGGGAAAACTAATAATTGTGCCTAAAAAACTATGGGCAGATAGATAGTATACAACTAAACTAGATAAAGTGCATATTTGCATTTCCATGATCTATGAATCGGAGGCCGAGTTCTTTCTCAGTCAGTGAAAAGAACCCCTCACTCCCCAGAGTCACAAAGAAATGCAGACGCAGAGCTCTCCTTGTAATGTAATGGACAGGACTTTTGTGTTCTCTGAAGGCTACTTGTAGCACCAGCCTTGTTTTAAACATTTTCTTAGCTAGGAGAAATAGCTGATTGTTGTATATTCAAGTTATAAGCATTTTTTAAAATTATTCTTTATGAACTTATCTACCTGGTTATATACTCTGGGTCCATATACAAGTAACATAAGACTATAGACAGAAGCCAGTATATATTTTGCACTATTGCTGTGATCCTGCAGCCAGCAAGGACCATACTGATTTCAGCATAATAATGCTTATTAGTAATAAAGATTATATAGTGATGCTTACCAACACTGACACAGTTGCATGCATGTTCCATTGGAAGGAATTTCTGATTGTCTCCATGGTGATTTACCCCTTTCGTTTTCAAAATGAAAAATTAATAGCCCTCTGCCTAATGTAGCTGCATATATAAGGTTCTGTCCTGTGCCCTGAAGCCTCATTGTCCAGAGTGACAGGTCATCAGATGCTCACTCACCCTCACCTGCACCCAGTGCTGAGCTGGATGGAGATACAAAGGATAAGACAGACTTGCTGGCACTTCAGGAGCATATTCTCCACTCCATGGAAGGGAGCTCTCCTGGGAGAGGTGGCTTGTAAGTGACACCATCTTAGAAGGCGAAGGTCCTTTTGTCCACTCCTAGACCCACTTGGACAGAGTCACCGTTCCAGATTCTGCTCCACAATAATCAGTGTTATGGGGAGGTTTCTATGTCTAGTTACCTTCGAGAAAGCCAGCAGTTCAGCATCACAGCAGGCATTCATGTACATTTGAAATGTTTACAGCAGCCTTTCAATAAGTGGGTGGCTCTTGGTAGGCAGAACACTATTAAGTAGTTGTAGGAAATTAGAATGAAAATAGAAGCTCTGTCCTGCCCTCAAGGGGACCTTACATTTAATGAAAGACATACCCAAGTATGTGCATGAACCAAAATGACATGCCCCTTCATACTTTATGCACAACTTAGAAATGCAGTTCTTGCAGAAACCGGTTTGGCTTAGTGGTAGAGCGTAGGTCTGCGGATTGAAAGGTCCCAGGTTAGATTCTGGTCAAGGGCATGTACCTTGGTTGCAGGCACATCCCCGGTAGGGGGTGTGCAAGAGGCAGCTGGTCGATGTTTCTCTCTCATCGACGTTTCTAGCTCTCTATCTCTCTCCCTTCCTCTCTGTAAAAAATCAATAAAATATATTTTAAAAAAAAGAAAAAGAAAGAAAGAAATGCAGTTCTTGTGATGTATACCTACAGGATCATAGGACTACCTAGCATTCCTGGTACGTAGTGAATTCTCCTGGCAGAGCTGATGGAGAGGCTGTAAGGGGATCTCATCAGTTGTTCCCCTTACGATGTTTCCCAAAATCGAGCCAGATCTCCCCATTCCACATAGGACCGGCGTTCTGGTCATTGCCCTGGCCCTTTCCTCCTATGGCCCTGCCTCGGCGTTGGTGATGCCCGTATCTTTTAAGATCATTTTGATTTGTAATCTTCATTACCCTGTAAAGGGGCGCAAAGCCTTTAACAAATTTATGGTCCCTAAAACTGTGGGACCTCAAAGGAGAACTATGAAGCTCTTTGAGGTTTAAATTTACCTTTGTAGACCCCAAGTGACTGCATTCCTCTTTGAAAATGTATTACTGTCATGTCCCTGAGAATGCAGGGGGAGATTCCTCAACATACGGGAACACCTAAACCAGGGGAGGTCACCCGAAGGAAGGAATCGAAATGAAGGTGCTCTGCTCCCCATATTACAAGTCAATGAGGTAGCTTTCTGGTGAGGTGTGTGTGTGTGGAAAAAGGTATTTCAGAATTTCAGGACAGCTGAGCTCAAGGGTAAGGCTGCCTGGTGGCAGGGCGGACACTAAGAGGCTAAAGCAATCCTTGTGGGGAAGCAGATGATGCAGTAACTAACATACAGAAACCAAGGACATGTATATTTTTATATCTGTGTGGTTTTAAAACTTTAGTACTTAGAATTTTGGCCTTCTGCACTACTCTTTTGCTCTTATAAACAATTTACCTTTAAGAATGGAAAGGGACAGCATTTACATATGTGTTCACTGCCTCATTCCCGGTGAGGCAGCAGTTAGTTATATGCCTCTTTGCTGTTTTCTCTACTAAAGAAAGAAAAAATAGTTGAAAGTAAGACTTGCCACTTAGTCTGCTTTGAATAAATTTATGTAGCGGAAACTATATAATGAAGGAAGAAATCTATGAAAATTGCAAACCCCAACCTATCTATGCTGATATCTTTGCAGGAAATGGAGGAAGGCAGTGAAATGGCAGAGTAAAGGAGGCTTGAAGGATTCAAGTATAAGTAACGTTTTATATAAAGCATAGTAGTTTAGGTCCCCATAATCTTAAAGAATATCATAAATATAAAACAAAGTTCATTGTTTTAGGATTTTTTTTTAAAAATGTGTTGTACCTAAGACCATACTTAACTCTTCTATGCTGTCACTGCAAAGGCGTGATAAGTATGTATTGTATGAAAAGTCCTTAATGCACTGTTATCTCCTAAATATTTAGTAAATTAATACTATTTAAATTTTTTTTAAAGATTTGTCTGTGAGGACACTAAAGGTATTACACAAAATCTGGACTGAAGATGTCCTTTTTAACAACAATTTAAAGTACTTTTTATATATGTTATATAGTACATGCTTTCTTAAACTGCATAGTTTGTATTTCCCATAATTCCCACTTGTGAAGTGTGCTCCTCCTTGTCTCACTTCAGTCACTTCCTGCATGCACCCCTCTTTATGGTTCCGGAGACGACTGTGTGCTCTCCATACTCGGCTGCGAGGTGCCGCTCAGGGCGCTGTGCCCAGCGAGGCCCGCCCCGGGGGTGTAGGACAAGCTGCTGCTTCGGAGCCGAGTGCCCCCCGCTTTTGAGTTGTCCAAGCCTCCTCCTCGAAATGACTGTTAAACTAAAATAAATTACATTGCATTTATTTTATATTCTTGGTTGTAATAAAAATTTAATTGACTTTGTGTGTGTGGTGTGGCTTCTTTAAGTATAAAACACTCTTGTTGAAAGGGTGAGTGCTAAGATTTGAACGGTGCACCTAGAATCTTTTCTGATCACACTTGTCCTGCAGCGAGGCAGCCTCCCTGGGAGTTGCCACATGGTAGTGTATTCAGGGTGTTTATGATCCCACAAAACCGCAGAAGCAAAATTACAGCTTTTAAAGCATCTCCAGGGGTAACGTCCTATTTTTGAAAATGAAAATTGGTGTTTTAGAAGAAAACAATGGGCAGCATTTTGTGGGGAGAGATGAGCTGGGAGTCTGTCCTTTTATAAGAACGCTCTGTGCTGAAGCGGGTTTGGCTCAGTGGATAGAGCGTCGGCCTGCAGACTGAAAGGTCCCAGGTTCGATTCCAGTCAAGGGCATGTATCTTGGTTGTAGGCACATCCCCAGTGAGGGGTGTGTAGGAAGCAGCTGATCAGTGCTTCTCTCTCATTGATGTTTCTCTCTATCCCTTTCCCTCTCTGTAAAAAATAAAAATATATTAAAAACACACACACACACACACACACACAAAAAAAAACCCTCTGTTGTACCTGGCTTCCCCTTATGGTTTACACGATGAGTCCTCTGAGGTTAGTCCCAGGGTCAAAGGCATCGTGGAGTGAGTTGAAGAATGTTTTAAGTGACACAAAATTTCCATTTCTATTTGAAATAGATATTGCACATATCTAACTGCTTGGCACAGATGGGTTTTTTTCAAAACTGTGCTATCCACAGGGTAGAGCTTCTCTCCGAAAGCTGTTTTTTGACCACGGATGCCTTTCTAAGCAGCCACGTGGGTAAGAGAAAGTGGATGACTGCACAAACCCCTTAACTCCAGGGAAAGTGACCTGAAAGGTGGGTCCGTCTCCCCAGCGGAGTGTAAGTTCTTTGTGACGGCGCCTAGGGTTCATTCCTCCTGCCCTCCCAGCAGCTGGCAGGACGCTCGACACAGCAGGTAGTTCATGTGGCGAGTCCCTAGCATCACTTCTGTACACTGGCATAGAATTCCCAGACCACTTAATAAGTCGTGTTTATATTTGGACATGGAAGGATGAATTTAATTTCCATGAATAATGAAAATGCTAAAAATAGGCTTCACTTCTTAAAATAGGTTCATTTCTTATATTTTTGGCTGCAAAGTCAATATAAAATATCACCCCAAAGGCACTATCTAAATTGTATTTAAATAAAAAATTAAGCCAAGTTCGCTGTGCTCACTAATCTTAGGAAGTCATCTTTTCCTGGCTGCCTACAGGTGGGCATTTTAAAGCCTTACAGAGGCCTTCTATCTCGCAGGCAGCAGAGCCAGCGTGGCCAAGCAGCACACATACCTAACAGGAATGTGTGTTCATTTGATATAAATGAGAATACAGGGGAAAGAAATGAAAATAGTGACTGAAAGCATTAAAATGTATTTAGCATATTCCTTCTGCTTTTTTAGACTTTTTCAGAAATTGCTGCTGATTTTTTTCACACAAAGATGCTATAATGGACTGAATACTTGTGTCTCTTCCCCTCTTCCCCTCCCCCCCCCCAAGTTCATTGATTTTTTACAGAGAGGAAGAGAGAGGGACAGAGAGTTAGAAACATCGATGAGAGAGAAACATCGACCAGCTGCTCCTGCACACCCCCTACTGGGGATGTGCCCGCAACCAAGGTACATGCCCTTGACCAGAATCGAACCTGGGACCTTTCAGTTCGCAGGCCGACGCTCTATCGACTGAGCCAAATCGGTTTCGGCTGATCTTTCTTTAAAAAAAAAATATTTAATTTTTTTTTATTGATTTCAGAGAGGAAGGAAGAGGGAGAGAGATATAGACACATCAATGATGAGAGAGAATCATTGATTGCTGCTTCCTGCAAGTCCTCTACTGGGGATGGAGCCCGCAGCCCGGGCATGTGCCCTGACCCCAGCAATTGAACCATGATGTCCTGGTTCAAATGTTGAAGCTCAACTACTGATCCACACTGGGTGGGAGTCTGATCTTTTAATATCTATAAAGTGTTAAAAATAGCATCTACCTTTTAGAGCTTAAGGATTAAATGAGATAATATGTGGTGTGTCTAGCAGAGTGCCTGGCCCTTCAAATAATCTC